CACGTATTGGCGTGCTGTCGCCATCTTTCGGCTCGGGCTGATGGGTTGTGCTCCATTCAAGTTTTGTAATCCCATCCTGTCGCGTTCGGGTTCTTGTATCAGTGTGCAGGCTTGTTTTTCCTTTTCCTCTCTCTCCCTTCTTCTATCTCTTCTCTTCTCTTCTCTACTTCCTGTGGACTCGGCTTGTGTGTCGTTGATTCGCGAATTTCAAGATGCTTGATGAGATTTATGAATTTACTTCAACCATTGCAGGCGGACGTTCGATATGGCCCATCGAATTCTAATTTTTTACACCTATCGAAGAATTTTGAAGCCTCAGTTTTCGATAGGATGTGTGGCGATGCAAAACTATCGAAAAAACGTAATTCGATAGTGGTGTGGCGAGGCCCTAACCACGGCCTGCGGTGATGAACCAGGCTCACTGGCCTGGATCAACCCCACCGCGGATGAGTCACACCACATTCTATCCTAAAAAACATCAAAAGCATCAGCCGGTTTAGCTTAGAGTAACAACTGAAATCTGCACGGCATATGGAATACTCGTCAAACAGTTTACTATTAGTTTCTTCAGTTCTTTCTCTAGACCGTCCATTTATGAAACTTAACTTTTTTTTTTTTTTTTTTTTTTAAGGTTAATTCTTTAAGCCCAACCAATTCAATTACCTGTCAAATCTGGACAKGACGGCCTTTGAGGCCTTTTTATTGTCATTATAGTATTATGGAAAACCCCGTAGCAGCCACATCCGTGCTCAAGCCTCAACGAGGGAACATGTGGGAGCTGCCCCCACTAGCAGGTGCGATACCTGCTACAACAGGTGGGCGATACCGGCCAGGGGTCAGCCGGTAGCATCAGGACCCAGCTTCTTCGATGGGCCAGTCACTGTGCCTCCCCTCCGGTCCCCTCCCCCTATGAACATCARCAGTCTCTGCTCAATGCCACTCGGGGGGACCARCGRCATATCTCTAGGTGGCGGGCGCCAAGCTTGCCCAGGAAGGTACATGAGGCCAACGGGGATTGAACCCAAGACCTCCTGAATGCCACTTGCATGCCTGACCAACTGAGCTACAGCAGGTAGGCGATACCGACCAGGGGTCAACCGGTAGCATCAGGACCGAGCTTCTTCGATGGGTCAGTCACTGTGCCTCCCCTCCGGTCCCCTCCCCCTATGAACATCAGCAGTCTCTGCTCAATGCCACTCGGGGGGACCAGCGGCATATCTCTAGGTGGTGGGCGCCAAACTTGCCCAGGAAGGTACATGAGGCCAATGGGGATTGAAACCAAGACCTCCTGAATGCCACTTGACTAAGGTTACTCCGTGACAGTTTATTGTACCTATTTATCCTATCAGTGTTCTACTGTCTACCTGCCTATCCCCTGACTACTGCTGACCTATTCGGTCAGAAACCAACCAAAAAAACGGTTGGTGGAACATACTGTTCCGGATGGCCTAGACACTCTCCTTCCATCCTCCCTTAAGTGGTGTACTGCGACCTTCTACCACAACCGAGTGCCCTAGTTGCAACAACAAAAAAATAACCCCCACAAGGCCTCAAAGCCACACAAACCGAAAATGAGTCCCTTTGTACCTGGAGCCACGAAAATCCTCTCCTCCTACAGTTCCTACCCCTTATCTCTTACCTATTCTATCCCCGTACCACTAGCTCATGTATTCAGCCCCAGCCAATTTGAAATCTGCAAACTACCCTGAGAAGATATCCTCGCCAATTGCCCCTGAATGACCCACGTCTTGAGGAACCAATCTGTGTTCCGCTGTACGTTTCTCCAGCTCACTTTTCTGAGCCAGTCTGCTTTGATCTGGGTTTTCACCAGATTCTTGAACATCTTCTCCGCCTGCTTCTCCCTCAATGGTTCACCCCTGAACCGCCTAGCATTTCTGTCAGACCAAATCACCCACAGCATGCAACCCCTGGTTACCTGTGCCACGTAGTCCCATCCCTGTTTGCCTTGACTTGGGTTAGGTAGTGTTCCAAGCAAAACCCATCTTTTCCCGGACAAATCCGACCTCCCTGAGAAGTTAACCCACCATTTCTCCCACCACTTCCACCATTTGTTGGAGGTGGGACATTCCCACCAGAGGTGGGATGTGGTTTCCAGTTGATTGCTACATCTGTCACAGTGCATTAGTA